CCAAACTCTTATCTTTATAGATTCTCCATCGAACAAATCTGTAATTTTCTTTTGTGTTTCATCATCATTATTTGTTTTAAAAACTTCTTCCGAAACCTTATCAAGTTGAACTAAATCCAAATCCAAAATATTTTTCTTATTAGCATTTGGTGTTTTGGAGGTTTCTATTGGTGAATCAAATTCTCTATTTACAAAATTACTCATACATGTATTATAGAGGGAAACAAGTACAGTATGTTTGAAGGTATTTTGAGGTTCGTTAATTCTAACAGACTCGGCCATCATTAATTGTTTGTTACATGTAAAATTCTTATACACGGAGGCGAATAAGGTCTTGAAGAGAATACGAGGTACGAATGTATCGGAAGGTTCAAAGTTATTGTTTGACATTTTTTTAATTGTTTGTGATCCAATCAATATTATTGCAGTTCATACAAATTACAATATTAGATCTCTTATAACGCTTCTTTGAAAAGTAAATGAAAGTAAATCTTGAAATTATTTGATAGATCTATAAGTTTACCTATTTAGGAACAATTAGTGATAATAAAAATGTTTTTTAATTTTCCTTTTGGGATGAAATCAGATTTCAAAGAAAAAATATAAAACTAAATTGCCAGATTTTATATAAACTAATTAGAAATGGTATTGTTTATTAAACTAACAAGTTTTGAAGGTAAAGAAGAAAATCTGTTTTGATCGAGATTGGAGAGATTCTCTTTGGCAAATGAAACAAGCTTATCGCATAACATCTTGTTGTTGATATTTTGTGCTGTGTCGTAAAAATTTTGTAAGGTCAAACCAGAAATCATGCTATTAATATCTGACCACTCCTCTAAGAGTTTATCAATATTTCCCCAAAATTGTTTCTTTTTTTGTGCATCATCAATTCCAAGCATTTTCTCTGCAAAATTTCTATTGGTATCATTTACTTCAAAGGTTTTGTTTTTCCATTTATCCTTTTCATGCACTCCATATGTGTGCTTACCATCTTGTTTTAAAGTGAGTTGAAAAACTCTTTCTCCTTTTTTGTTTCTTTTTTGCACAATTCTAGAATCACTCCATTTAATTTCTTCCAAAATTGTTTTCAAAGAATTTCCCTCCAGTTTGATGTTGGTATCACAAACACACCAAGTAATAGGTTTGGTACCCAATGTTCCTTTAAAAGTGATGACCGAACCATCACATGCTAGGCTTCTTTTTTGTTGATCACCCATATTTGTTTCATCAAAAGTAATAACGAAAGGCTCTGAAGTATCGGAAGATGTTTCTAACATGATGAAATTGTTATCCTGTTTTGAACCAACAACAACATGGTTTACTAATCCATGTCTATGGGTTGGTTGGGAAGAGGTATACTTGTATGCTGGATATAAGCAGAAATTTGTTAATCCACCATTAATAAGTGCTGCACTCATACCAATGCAGTTTGATCCAATTACATTATCAATTTTTAATTCGTGTAAGTTGGTGTATGTAGTGAGAGGAATAGTATTGTTGTAATTAACAGTTTCGTACTGACTGCTAAGTGCGTCCGCACAATCACTGATAGAGGTCTGAGCCATTTTTTTTAAATTAAAAAATAAATATTGTAAAAATTCTATTTTTAAACAGGATCCAAAACACTCTGAAGAATATTGTAAAAAATTGCTATTTTTAAACTGCAACAAGCAAGAGTATCACAAGAGCATTTTCAGACACAAAAAAATGACGGACGTATTTTTAACGGAAGCTTTGCATTTTGCGCAACACTACTTAGCCAAAGAAAAACCTGTCCAACAGGCATGCCACTTTCCAGTATGTTTGTTAGATTGTGTTGCCCATGAGAGTGCAACCATCACAAAATTCAACTTTATAATGGGCAAGACGCAGTTAGAAAACAATCTTCTTCCTCTGTTTGTATTCAAATCAAAAACATCCTACAATGAAACTTTTTATGATTTATCAAATCATGGATTGATGGAAAATAATTACTGGCTGAAAGAAAAAACAACATTTTCTGGTGAGCCGCAAATTTCTATCAAACATACCACTCAGAGTAAACAAACCTTGCATTACAAGGAAAAAAAGTGCGAAAAGTCTAAGATGTGCAATAATTTAGCGTTTCTTATCCAGTCGTCAAAGTGTTCATTTTGTTTTAGCGTTACAAGAACAACTTATGAATTGAAAACAAACAAAAATGTGGTACTTACCATAGACATGGCTTTTTACAATGATTTATCATCGTTTGTAGTACTTTCAATTTGTGGTCCAATATCTAACGATCTGGTCCCTACCGATAACCACAAGGAAATATCGAGCCATGCAAAACCATGCAGAAGCAAAATTGTGGAATACATCCATAGGACAGAAAATAATCTATACTCCAAGCTTGTTATGCGTAAATATGTATCTGACCTGTGTTATGAATCAATGTGCGTAGCAACATTTGAAGTGGGTGAAGAAAAAGCTAAATTGTATCGTAAAACGGCAGAGGAAACGAAAAAGCAAATGGAAGAGGATGGAATGGATCCTATTATGATCAATTGTGACTATTCCAATATTCTCATGTATGGAATTGTAGAATATCCTGACGATGAGTGTTATTAAATCAGAAGGTAGAATATTCCAAATTTATCGTGTTTTAATAAATGTTTGAGCTTAAAAAAAATATATATTATTTTCGATGTTTAATCCGAAGTAGAAGTAGTTTCGTATGTGGTACGTTTAAACTTGATGTAGGTGTTGTTATGATTAGGTGTAAATAACTCAAAAGCCAAAAAAAACAACATTAGAATCATGTACATATCACCATTACGAAAGTCAAAGGGTCTGTTTGTTGGTTCGTTGTGCTTGACCTGCCTCTTCATTCTTCAAGTTTCATCCACGCATGTGTTTGCGAAAGTTCATCAACAATTCATGCTTCAAGCAGATAACAACGCGACAACCACCTCCCAAAACACCAATAATCAAACTATCCTCCAATTAATTCCTCCTCCTGATGTTTCCCTCACAGATTACAACATTACAGAATTTATTATTCTACTTTCGAATGTGACCAATAATCTAACATTGGCTCAAAACAAAATTGTTCTTACCAATTACACCAAAATCCATCCTTCAATCATTGTAACTTTGAGAAGCTTATTTATTCTTTTTAATATTTGGCTTTTAGTTTCGGCGGTCATGTTCAGAAATTATGAACCTGTCAAATCAAAGTTTTTCTTTGTAATTGTATTAATTAGTGTCAATATTATTGCTCATAGTCAGGGAGTTATTGAAAATCTTCCGATTATGAGGTTGTATTTTGAAAGTTATTGGAATAAGTTTATAAACGAAAGGAGACTAAACTCTATTGATGCTCAAACTTTTTACATGAATAATTTGGATTCGAAAGGATTTCCAACATGGATGAGAGGATATGCCTCTTTTGAAAACGGCTATTGTTTCTTCAATAGTTACGTTCTGGCCCCTTTGGTAGTTATGGGATTGGCATTATATTCGATTCAGATTCTTAAACTAATGTTACTACTCTTTCTGAAGGATAAAATTGAATCTGTCGAAAGATATTGGCAAGATTTCAAACAGAAACAATTAGAGAAACTCAAAAATATGAAAAAACAAGAAACGAATCAAACTGATCTGAAACTCCAAAATCTATTGCCGATCAAGATCCAACAAATTCCACAAGTCAATCATCACT